GTGTGAGCATCTGTTTCTCGCTTTCTTTTTTCTTAACCCTAAGAAAATCCAGACAAGTTCAAAACAGAATATATTTCTTGTTTTATCCACCTTTAAGCAAATATTAGATGGTCTGAACTGCTGATATTCAGCTGATCTGGATCTCCTGTTCATAATAGGGGAGTAGAAATAGATACAATGAATAGAAATGGAAAATATGTGTTGCGTTGTCAAATCACATTATGCTTTTAACTTAAAACCCTTGAGTTTCAAATCTACCTGTCAACTTCTCGACTTGAAGAATATCTACCGTATTATCTAAGAACCCTCCAGCTACTGAAGTTCATGCTTGTCCCATTTTTGCCTTTTATCTTCTCCAGGCCCCAATCCTGCAAAGACTTCTGTCCATGATCATCTCTGTACCCTGGGTAAGACCGTTAATTTAATTATCTCACTAAGTGTTAGCCATATCCTGATATGCTGTCCCTCCAAAAAAAAAAAAAAACCTGGTATTAAACATGTTTCCAGAACTATGGAAGTTGACAAAGTGAATTTTGTAGATGACAGCTTCTGGAACTACTGCAAAATTTCTTTTTTAATGCCTCCTATATTCACTGTATCTAACTGCTGCTAGCTACTAAAGAATTTGTGAAGACAGAAAAACTCGGAAAATATAGAGCAATAGTACTGGCTAATGATGCTCAGCTTGGTAAGTGAATGCTCAGCTATTAGTATCAGTAAGTTTTGATACTGACTTAGGTTTTGAACTTTCCATTTGCAGGACAAGTTCTAAAGAAGAAGTACAGAAATAAATCCCTCAACATTTTCCCTGCCTGGTACACCATTTTACATATGGCAGGCATGTATAATTCCCAAAGCATGGAAAAGCACATCTAAATGTAATTTGTCAGCACTATTTCATATCTGTTTTCAATTTTTGTCAACAGCTGCATATAATATATTATTTTGGAAAAGAGAGAATAATTTTGCTCTTGATATTTGATGTATTTTTACATCAAATATATTTGTGAGAATCTGAAATAGAATGCAGCAATACAAAATGCAGAAGGCTTTTGCTGTAAAATTGGACTTTCAAGTCATGGTTTGAATGAGGAATTGGTGCTGACTCCACAAGTTTCTGTGGAGTGTTCTGTTCGGTACAGATGTTTTAAAAATAATTCCCCCAGTCCAGTTCATTTAAGACAGAGTGAATGCCAGACCAGCTGTCCTGGAGCAAACGAAAGGCTGAGAAAACAGTAATTGAGCAAGGCAGGAAGACAGATGAGACGATTTCTTGAGCTTTCTCCAGACCTGTGTTCTGCCCTCTTTAGATCCCTTCCTCTCATATGAAAGCAGATGACATTGTCTTCAGGGCTGGAGCTTTACATCTTTCTTCCTGCCAGGGTTACTTCCTCTGAACAGGGAGTTGCACTGCTTGGCACAGCCAAGCCCTAAACTTTCTTGGGCAAATGCAAACCATTCACAGGACTGTGGTGTTCCCTCCATCCAAGAGGGAAACGGCAATTTCTTTGCAGCTTCTTATCAGAGTGTTGATTGTCTGTGTCCTCCCTGTCTTTCATTCTTAACAAAGGTGACTTTGGCTCCCAGTGGAGAGACTTCTCAGGTGGAGTCTCGGTTCTACACAGTGCCTCTCTTATATGTAGGACAGAAAAGGACTTTACATGCCTCTTGCAGGTTGGATTCCAGCATCGGAGGAAGGAGATTACAGTATTTTGCCTAGAGTGCTCAGCTTCGAGACTTCACTTTGTTCTTCACAGCTTGGAGGGATATGAAGCCAATTGGAAAAGTGCTTTGTGCTACGGGGATCGTAGCTGGGCTCGTAGCTTTCTTCTGGAAAGACCCTTTTAACCCAGGTAGGCTTACCAGGGGAGTCATTCCAATCTGGAATATAAATCACATAAGAGAAGAGGTTGAATTTCCAAACTCTGACTGGTGGTCTCATTCCTGCCCATAGTTTTACTAGAGTTGGTGGCCCCAAAGCAATGCGTCATTCCCAGAAATAAGCTTGAAACAAAGAGGAAGATAAAATGGTCTAACAGCACTTAAAATGGATCTTGCCATCTCTGTGGGGGAAGACAGACGTGCACTTTGCCACTGTGTCTTTTTGTTTTGTTTTGTTTTTTGTTTTGATTGCAAACTCCTTGGGGTCAAGAACCATCTCTACAGATGTGCAGTGCCAGCACAAGAGGGCTGACATGTCTCCAAACTGATAGCAAAGAATAAATGGTATGCAGAAGGCTGGAGGCCCAGAGTCTGGTTTATGTTGTACAGCTTTTTATAACGTGAAAACCAACTTCATCCTTGAAAGATAATGGTCTAGGAACCAGGCAAAGGGCATGCGACACAGCTAGCTTGCATAATCATATCACTGTTCCCTGGCAGTGCTAGCCTATGCATAATGTCCACAACAAACACGCAGTAATAAAAGAACACATCATTTGGGAAGTTGGGCTTGGGGGTTGTTCCATGGCAACTGAGCCATGCCGGCTGCATGCTTTTATCCATTATCCAACTCCATGGAAGAATGCTGAGCAGGGGAGGAGGGAAGGGAATGGTGAAGCACGGCTTGGCTGTTTGCTTTCTAGCACACCAGTTGCTGTCTGAGTGAAGTGGGTCACACTGAGCCTCCTGCTCTATGACTGAATTATGAACTCCGGGGTTGTCAGGATGGAGGAGGGAACTGGCTGTTGCCTGTTAGTGGAGCTAGGTGGAGCTGATTGCCATGTGCTTCTTGAGCTAGCCAGGCTTTCCTGTGACCCAGTCCAAAACAGATCATGTTTGACATGAGGTGGCTGATGACTAACCTTTTTGTTGTAGGCACCTGTCAGAAGGGGAAAAATAGCTCATTCTTCAAAGATTAGGTGATTTTTTAATTATTTTCAGTCTAGCAAGAACTGGAAGGTATTGATAATTTCGTGGCTTCTTCACATCAGTCTGCCTCTTCCAGTTTTGGAGAAACATCAAGACATCAAGACTTTTGAGCACTTACACCTTTCTACTTTAGAGCTCTGACAATAGTTAAGGGCAGCTCCTCTGCTGCTTCCTTCACTTTCTTCTATATCTTTTATTCTCTTTCCCATAAATAAGAGAGTTTGTCTGGTGCCCGCGTTCTCCTGACTGGAGCCAGTGCTGGGATTGGAGAGCAGATGGCATATCATTATGCCAGATTTGGTGCTGAAATTGTTTTGACTGCTAGGAGGGAAGCTGTGCTGCAGAAGGTAAGAACTTCCTTGTATGAGGGAAGACATAAGAGATTTGGACTTTTACCAAAAAAAAACCCGAACAACAACAAATTAGTTGCCAGCATGATAAATTTTCCTTCAGAACCATTGTTGAGCAAAACCAGCTTAGTTAGTTTTGAAATTCTTTCCACTTATGTAGAAAGATGGAACATGCCAGTGACAGGTTTTGAGCCTGATTTGCTGGCAGTGTCCTGTGCCATTCTTCTGTAACTGATCTCCTGGATGGGCTACTTTGCGTTGCCATACACCAGTGCCTGCTGCAATATCCCTGGTTTTTCTTACCAGAAGGCAGTAACACTGGACACTGGGGACATGCAACCCAGAAGGGAGCTTGGCCTGTACGGGAAGATGGATATACAATACCTGAACTTTTTAGTGCCTGAACATTTACATGAGGAAATGGAATGAAGCTGTGTCAGGGAAAGTTCAGATTGGACATTAGGAAAAGGTTCTTCATTGAGACGGTGATCAGTCACTGGAACAGGCTCCCCAGGGAAATGGTCACGGCACCAACTCTGTCAGAGGTCAAGGAGCATCTGGATGACGCCCTTAGTCATATTGTTTAGTGTTAGGAAGTCCTGCAAGGAGCGGGGAGTTGGACTTGATGATCCTTATGGGTCCCTTCCAACTCGAGATACTGTATGATTCTATGAACTACAATTCCTGTGCAATATTGTGCAGCTTTTCAGAGACCAAACAGTTCTATTTGTAGCTGTTTTGTTAAAGACTCAAACCTTTTTGTAGGTGAAATAATTTTTGGCCAGCTTGAATAGATGGGACTCCTGTATCTGTAGTTTATAAACCGGGACAAGATTTAGAGAAAATATGTCTTAAACTGTGGGGATAGGTGACTTGCAAGGAAAGTTCTTCACTATGAAATGGCACAAAAGGAGAGTTGGGGACAGTGAGCATAAAAGATAGTTCCTAATGCCTGGAAGGCATTGTTTCAGCAAATAGCTAAACTGCATATCATTACTGGGCACCTTCACATACTCAACATAGCAAAGGAATTATGAAAGATTAATACTGCTAGAGCCTTACCAGGTATTTTGGAATGAAAAGAAGCACTTAATGTAAAGCATAACCCTTATTCCAGAAGAGTTTTGCTGAAGACGACTCTCTTTTTTGGGTGAATCTTGATCCTTTTCCAAGGTAGATTGAATCTGCATCCTGCTAAGAGTTACCTCTGTTTAACTGTCTGGTTATACAAAGTCTGGATGCAAAATGAGCTCTCTGTGGGTCAGGTAGTGGTAGATGTAAAATTAAAGTTTCTCTTTGTCCAGGACTTATTCTCACTGACTGTCGTATGGGGAAAAAACACTGCCTTACAGTACCCTTATTTCTATTCTTTCCCCCACACACTCCATATTGTTTAATTTTTGCATGTGTGTTCTTTTTTCAAGGTGGTGGAGAAATGCCTGGCACTTGGAGCAAAGAAAATATTTTATATACCTGCAGATATGTCTTCCCCTTCAGGGTTCAGTTTGCTGTCCAAAAGCTGGGTAAGCAGAAGAAAAAATGAGATACTGAGGAAAGAGAACAAAATTTGCTTCTTACTCCAGTTTATACCATGTTCTATTTTTCAATAAAGGTTTAGCTTACACCTGACCTGGTCATGCTTCAGAGATTATAGTTCTCAAGCTATGTCATGCTTCATACTGGCATGCAAGTTTCATGCAACTGATAAGCATAAGCCTGATATAAGAGATAAGCCTGATGACACAGTTCTTATGCTGGCTCCTACGGCCCTGCCAATCTTGGCTCCTCTCTGATAACCCTGGAGTTGAAAGGCGCAGGTTTCTGTAATTTGTTTGAGTTCAGGAGGCTGTGGAAGAAGAGGTATCTTTGACTTTTCTGATGTTCGCTGCTTGTCTGGTCAGAACCAGGTGAGCAGAGCAAGGAGAAGGGGTTCTGAATCTGATCTCAATTCCATTATTTGAGTGTCTTAATTACTTCATTATGCTCTTGGTTTTCCTGATGTGGGTGTCTTAAGAAACTGTGTGCAAGTGTGCTGTGATATGGATGACCTGCCAATCCAGTAGCCATCAATTAACACATTTCTTTTAAACCTTCTGCTGTTTCTGCTGATGCTTTTGCACATATACATTCCCATACCAGTCATAATTTTTTCGTTACAAATTTCTATACTTTTAACTTTGAAAATAGAGTGTATCACCAGAACTAAGTTCCAAGTCTGCATTACCCTGAAACATCATTTCGGAGAGCTGCTGTCAAAGAACAGCTTTCCTTCCAATTCTACCCTTGAGGAACAGGCACAGCCATTCCCTGATGGACATATTTCATTTATCTTCATGGTAAAGCACTTCCTAGCCTTCTGAGAGAGCAGCTGGTTGGTTCAGCTCTCCTGCTGGCATTTCTGAGTTCCTTGGTTGCTAGTTAGGGCACGGCCCCTTTGTTTGGCTACTTTTTCTCCTATCCACAGGGGGACTGGATTACCTGGTGTTGAACCACATTGGCATGACCCGTTTCCAGATGTGGGCTGGAGATGTGGAGTACACCCGCTGGCTCATGCAGGTGAGGTTTCCCAGCAGGAGGAGCTCACCTGGAATTGGGTGACTCTGCTTCTCCGGGGACAGCTTTGCGAAGCTCAAAGGCAAATTCATGTCTATGGCAACGATCGAGAACAAACCTTTTATTTAATTTGTGTTTCAAGTCAAATTGGAGGCTTTGTTACTAGACAGATGTTTTGCTCCGTTGTTGTATATGTATGCAGAGGAATGTCTGCGAAGAACTTCACTTCTCTCCTTCCTTCTGTCCTTCCTATCTCCCATTAGCCTGGGACTGTTAGGGATTAATGGGTAGTTACAGGCAGTTGTGCAATAGATGTCTGGTTTAGGAAGGCTAATAAGTGAGGATCAAGCACTTCCTACTGATCTACTAAGCAAGCACACATCATTGCGGAACACAATAAGGTTCTTTGAAATTATGTTTGCCTTTTGAGTCTCTGCTCACAGATTCAGAGTTTTCCTATAGAAAACCTGGTACCAGGCTTTGGGACCATGAAGATGAAGAGCTGTTTTCTTGATTCAGTCTTCTTAGGTCAGGTGGGTCATATTAGTTCTATTTCATGTTGGAAGGAGCCTGTTTGCTGGACAGTAGGGAACTTGGGATCACAGGTAAGAAATTTCTTAAAAGTTAGCGAGCAGTCAAGCTCAGAAGAGACGCTGAATGTTGTGCTTTGTTGTAGTCTGAGCTCAGTCAAGATGCCCCCTCCCTGGCAGTGTTCAAGGCCACGTTGGATGAGGCTTTGGGCGGCCTGGTCTAGTGGAGAGTGTCCCTGTCCATGGCAGGGGGCTTGGAACTAGATGATTTTTGAGGTCCTTTCCAACCCAAACCATTCTATGATTCTAAGAGAAACTTAAAAAGGGAGAAAATTGAGATACTACTGGTGTCCTTGTTGCTGGAAAGAGATTGCAGAGTAAAGAATGGCATATAGAGAAATCAGGAACAGCTACAAGAAATGTAAATGTTAAAGCCCAGGAATAGCCTTTGCTCTGACTCTTCTCCGTTGCTTTTTCTGGAATCTGAAAGTCTCATGGATGCAATGTTTGTCCCCATCCTCACAGAGATGAATCTTTTCGCTTGATGTTTAAAAAATCAAATCCAACATGCTCCTTTCCATTTCTGACCACTCTGTTGGCTTTCTGGCTCATGCTGACCTTCCCTCCAAAACCTCTTGCTTCTTCTATGTCCACTTACATCATTCCAGGTGAATTTCTTCAGTTATGTGGCACTCGCAACAGCAGCTCTTCCCACGCTGGAGAAGAATAAAGGCTCTCTGGTGATTGTTTCTTCCCTCACAGGTTAGTGTCTTTAACTGTCGTAAGTGCTGGCCTTATGGACAATGGTTCATATTTCATCATATTTCTCTGTGCCCTTCAACCCCTCAACACATTTTCAAGCTGTGTGTTTTATAGTAGCAAGCAGGATGGTGGCTGGCTGGCCTTATTTTTCTCTGGAAGCACTTCTCTGTGTTGCACCATTTTGCATTCTCTTGGAACCTTGGTCTTTGCTCACCATGTGCCCAGATCTGCTTGTTTGGCTCCTGTCCCTCACAGCCAGGCTCATCTCTCTGGCATTTCTGACACAGCATTAAGACCATCCTGCCACTCTAAGGCCTTCTGGCTTTGTCCCACCCAAACAGCAGGCTACTGAGTAGCTGTACCTACTGTACAGGATGGAAAGGCAGGAGAAAGTCTTCAGTGTGTGCTCAAGGGAGCTGCATCACCATCTCAAGTTCAGCCTATGGCTCATCCTTGCCTTGTGATGTAACATGCTTTGGTGTCAGGGAAATGTTATGGCCAGATGCACCAGCGTGTGACCCAGTCCATATGTTTGCATGTGATGGGGAGGGGATGGCTGCAGGTAGACCAGCATGTGACCTGGTTACTGTGTAAGTTAAAAAAAATTTCCTCCCCTTATCCACATATGTGGTGGCTCTTGTGCTGGGATCTGGTCACACAAAGTGGTAGAATTTTCTAAGTGCCTGTGTGTGACTAGAAATAGAGGGACGCTCACCTGAACAGAACATGAGTTGATACAGGATGGCAAAGCCTCTGTCTTTGCCCAGATTCCCTCTCCATGGCACCATCCTTCTTACAGACACTTTCCTGGTGGTTTCCATTCTCTCCTTTTCCTTTCCAGGGAAAATACCCACTCCCTTCACCACTTCTTATTCTGCCACCAAGTTTGCACTGGATGGATTCTTCAGCTCACTGCGCCATGAACTCATCATGCAGAAGAGAAATGTCTCTATCACACTGTGCATCCTGGGACTGATAGATACTGATACAGCATTAGAGAATACCAGGTATGTATTTGGAGGACGATGTAGGAGTCTGGGAGGGAGTGTGTTTGCAGGAACATGTCTCTTCTTGAAAGCATGCAAACAATGCACCACAACTGTGTTTAAGATGGTGTGTGTATCTGTTTGAATGTGCAAGAAAACTACTGGGAAGAGTGCATCTGCTTGGGTACATCATGGGGTTTCTGCATGTCCACCTCAGCATGGACCATGAGCATGCAGAACCCTGTGGCAGTCAGTCTGCACAGTTAAAAATCACACCAAAGATTGACTGGCTTTGAGTGATCCTCTGACTCTTTCCTTCCAGGGGCAAAGTGCACCTAACTGCTTCTCCTGCTCCTGAAGCTGCACTTGCCATCATCCAGGGGAGTGCCACGCGGGTGCAGGAGGTTTTCTACCCATGGTGGCTGCAGCACATATGCTGCCTCTGGGTTTTGTCCCCCAGTGACCGGGACCAGGTTTTACAGAGTTACTATAACTACAGCAGTCCTTAAGGGATGCCCGGTGTCAGTCTACCCTCTCCCATTCTACACCCCTTCTAATCACATTCTCCCAGTCCCACTAAGCATCCCATTCAACCACTGGAGTCAAGCAGGAGCAGGGCAGCAAAGTAACCTTAGCTCTTAACATTCTTCTTGGCCTCCCTCTCATCCTGCTTCAGCAGCGTTTCTTGTATTTCTACCCGTCAGTCAGAGATCTTTCCCACTGTTCATTCTGTCTTAGCCCTCCACCCATCTCCCCTCCTTCAGCCTCGCCTGTCTGCTTTTACTGCCTCCAGTCTTCTCTCAGCTCCAGCTTTAACCTCTGTCCGTACAGGATGTTCTGGAACGTCTGTACGTTCCTGGGGCATCCTGCTCCACTGCTTCGTTGTTTTGTGAATTCTGTGAACCTTGCTTCCTATAAATAGAATTTCAATCTCTATTTTTAATTAAACTATTTTTTTAATGTGTTAGTGTAACTTCCTTCTAACTTCCTTCTTCTGTGAAGGAAGGTTGGTGACCTGGCTTCTGTGAGCACAGGCCTGTTGGTAATATCTGCTGACTGCACGGGACCTGTTAAATCAGCTCTTCCTTGCTGTAAATGCCAAGATGGGTTGGCGATTGCTGCACTGAACAGGAGGGAGAACACAGAGGGAATTCTTCCCTAACACGTTATTCCTATGGATATGTCATTGCTTTTAAGTTCTAGCAGCTAAGAAAAAGCAGTCTCTGCTTGAATCCTGGGCTGGGGATGGATAAAAGATCCTATGCGGGCTCCTTGGTGTCTGAGGGGATGGTTATTTTGTGTGTTGTTCCCATCCGCAGTGGATAAATCCTGAAGAAAGTTGAAGGAGCTTTGAAAGCTGAACATTTTGTAGAAACTGGTTAACAGGTTTGGAATTTATTCGAACAGCCAGGTATTGCTTAAAAGACAGGCTTGACTAGGGAATATAGAACTAAAATGGAGTGTGCAGAGCCTTGCCAATCGCAGTCTTTCTTCAAGCATAGCTGGTCTTCTCCAAGGAGAGAAAAAAAGCAGGTTAAGGGTACGTTCTAACTGGTGAGAGGCAGCTTCCTGGGAAAGGGTCACTGCATGTTCCCCGCCTCCTTCTTTGCTCAGTTGACAGCTAGGTACTAGACTAAGTGCACTCTTGTTCTAAGCTAAATATAAAAACTTGTCTACCTGCAAGAGATGTCACTGCAGCTTGAGTTATTCTTTTTACTGGGAATGGTGTGTGGCACTTTCAGTTGCAAGTACATTTATTTATAAGAACAGGCACCAGCTGAGTGTTTTCCTTCCTCTCTCCTTGCCATTGACTGGATTTTGATAGGACAAAGCTTTCTACGAAGCTGTGTGGAAATAAGAACTCACCCCAATCCACAAACTCTGGAGTTTGAACTTGCCCCTTCTAAAACACACACCTGCTTGCTTCTCATGACAGCTTGTAGTATACCCCTTGCTCAGTCACTGCAGAATTGTGTGTGTTTGTGCAGGGGCAAGGAGGCATCAAAAATTGAGGTAGTCCTACATTTCATTCATTCCAGCACCATTAAATAGGGATTTCAAAGCAGAAGAAAGTCCCAGGGACTACTGCTTTTATAGAAGGCAGGGGCTGAACCAGAGGCATGGCAAATAGTTGGTTCTCTACCAACACAAGCATGTTCCTCACCTTCAGGGCAGAGATGAGGAGTCTGTGGATTTGCTTTCCCTTTTCCTGGTTCTATGCATAGCACCAGATGGGCTGGCCTCTGGCTCAAGATTGATTTCCATCAAGGTGCTGTTGAGAGAACCAATTCTGGTCTCTCAGGTGTGAGCAGAGTACACAGGAGTTCTTAAAAGATGTCTGGGATCTGCACACAAGAGCTGTAACTGGTTTGTGTTTAGCTCTGCTGGAGCTTGGCTGCTGAACTCATTTGTTGCAATTGGGCTAATACAAGAAATTTGCATTTTGGGGACCATATGCTGAAGACTGGAATAAAAATCCACAGACAGCCGCCTTAGAGACACAGAGGCACTGTGTGGTGTTGAGAGGAAGATAGGGTTGTAGTCTGTAGAACTCAGGCTCTGTCATCCATCCCCGTGAAATGCTTTTTAACTTGACTGCCCAGAGGATTTGCTGAATGGAAACAGACTTTCCTCGCCTCAGGCCTGTGGTGCGTATCTTCAAGTGTAAGCATTATCTAAAAGCAGGTGCAACTAAGACGTGAAGTAAAACCTCAATTACTTAGCAAGTAAAACTTTTATTAAATAAATTTAAGATTTTTTTTGACCAGAGTGAGGAATTTGACATTGACGAAGCTTGTATCACACCTGTAACATCGTACAGTCACATCAGTAACTGTGATGGAAGCAACTGTAAATGCTTGTTTTAAACCAGCTTGACCTAGAATTTCCAAAGTCCTTTTTTTCCCATTTTGCATTTGTTGGTCTTTTTTTTTTTGTTTGTTTTGTTCAAAATTAGATTAAGTTTAAACTTCATGAAATTACTTGTAGCAGAAATAAAGTACATTATACAAATCACGTACATAATAGATGTTAAGTATAAAAATGGTATTTACAATAAGTAAACATGGACTATAGAAACACACAGACTCACACAGCTTCATCCATCTCTCATAAACTCTTAGCATCAGATACAGAAAGGTGGTTGAGGAGATGTGAAGCTGAACTGTGCTACAAACAGCTGAACAAAGGGAAACGGGAGGAGGAGAATTGGCTGAGGTTCTCTTAAGTCCCCATATCTCACTTCAGTATCAATTGCATCAGCCTTTCTCCACCAACCCTCTGCTCATGTTTGAACACAGAGACAGACAGACACACACACACACACACACAGAGGTTCTTGTCAGTTCTTATCAAACTCTGGAATATTGAAACTAATCATTCAGAAGGTTTGTGGGGTTGGTTGGTTTGTTTTATTTTTCTTTCCTTATTTTGGTAGAAAAAGAGACAGTTTCAAGTTGTTAAAGGGATATGCCTTGTCAGTATGACACCCCTCCACCCCCAAGGGGATCTTTGTTAAATCCAGTTCTGAACTATGTTCTGTGCTTAAGTATATGTGTATATAGCAGTATCTATATATGCTGCATAATGTATAATCTGTCCACTGGAGGGGGTGGTGGGGAAAACAACAGAATGGCAACCCTCTTTCATCATACTATCCTTGTGTCTGCTTGGCAAAGCTTTGCAGAGGGTGTAAGAGGTGAGTCCTCTTGCTAAATTCAGATCAAGAAAATGTCCCATTTCATCTGGGAATTGGAACTGCCTGCTAACCAGCGTTAGGTTACTTCCGACACGGGGAGGCAGTGTGTAGCCCCTGGGAGGCTTCCATCACTTTGTTTTGGAGATGGCATCTGCTCACGCTCCCTCATCTTCTCTTGCCTTGATCAAGAATATGCTCCATTACCGTGGAGAGCTATGAAACACAAATCTGTGCCACGTGTGGGGAGGCAGTACAGTTCCTGTAGGTAAAGGGACTGGTTTCCTGTGCTTTCAGCCTAATCGAGGAATGCTCAGGATAGGCTTTGGCACCAAATTCCAGGAGCTTTGTCTGCAGAAGCCCTTGGAAAGGTAAGACTGAGAGCTCTTGAGATCCTTTACCAGGCTGGTGCTAAGGTCGGTGGACGAGTGACTCGAGCTGAGCAGCTGGCTGTGCCCTAACCCCGGAGGTATGTAGTTCTCTTTCTCCTTGCTAATGTTGAGCAGAGAGATGCGCCGTCTCTCTCTCGCTCTCTGTCCATCCAGTCATCCTCACAAAATGTTCAGGCCTATCTGCAGTGCTTGCTGAGAAGACACTGTTGCAAAGGTAAACCCTTAACTTCCAATCCCTCTTGCAAGGAGTCAGTCTCTGAATGGAAAAGTTTGGTCCTGTGAGCCACTTTAAAAAAAAATAGAGACT